TTTTATCAAAAGAAAAAATACCATTTCAGTGTCATGAAGTATTTTTCCCATGTTCTCTTCTAGCTGTTTCATAATTTGAATCATATGTTTGAGTATCATCTATTCTTAGTCAATCTTTTCAGGGAGAGATAGGGATCTAACTTCATTATTCTTCTTATGGTATGGAAATCCAAAGTTTCCAGTGCTTTTTACTAAAGAGGCTGCTCTTTCCTTGGCATGTACTCTTGGCATCTTCCTCAAAAGTCACCTGGCTTTAGATGAGAGAGTTTTCCTCTAGGATCTATATTCTGCTCCTTTTCTCCATATGGCTGTTTTTATGCTAATACCCCGCTGCGTTTATTACTATAGTTCTACTGTATGTGTGTGTGTGTGTTCCCATGTATCTATTTACAGCTATGTTATCTATAAATACCTTTTCCCAGTGCTGAGGATTGAATGCACAGCCTCAGAATGCTATCAATGACGTCAACAGAGTTATACCCTAGTTATCAGGTTTCATGTCTTCCACTTTGTTCTTTTAGCTAAAGATTGTTCCAGCTACTTTGGTATTTTGATTTGGGGGCTTTATTTGTAATTCCCTATGGATTTAGTTTTCCATATGGATTTAGATTTTTAGTTTCAGAAAATGTGAAAACTGTAATGGGCAATTTGACATGGCAGTTTCAGTTTTTATTGCTTAAGAAGCCCCCTTGAGTTTTAGTTTCACAGTTTGAGCACTGGGACAAAACACTGGCTCTCCCAACCATATAACTTTGCACACCTAAAGTGAAATAACTGTCTTAAAAATGAGGTTTAAATGTGATTGTTGAAAACATCTGAATCTCTGAAGGTGGAATAAAGGACCTGCAAGGCCCCAGCCGGTTCTTTCCCCTCTTTTAGACATTACTGAACTATGAGTATTACAGAGCCTGAGAATCCCATCTTTCTTCCATCATAATTTGGACCACATGAAACTTGCCCTACAAAAGAGCTGGAAACAGAAAAGCTCAGTTCCAAGTGACCCCAGAAGGCATTATTATTATTGTTATTGTTATTGTTATCATCATCATCATCATCATCATCATCATTAACAAGTTAAGTAGAAACAATAGATAAGTGATTTTTCTGTAATGTATTAAGAAGCAATTTGAGCTTTGTTTTTATGATCTGAACTAGGTCAACATACTCAAAACAAGAATGGAAACTATAGCATGAACTATGTAACTGATAAGGACATCCATATGGAAATCAAGTATTTGCTGAATCAGATGACTCACTGCTTGGGATGGTGTGGTCACAGAGGGAAAGTTCAGATCACATTGCCCATGCATAGCCAATGGCATTTCATGCTTCAGTGAACAAGAAAGGTGAAATACTTTACTAATTCCAGCAAACCTCCAAAAGATCATACTCCTACTTGGATTATTTCTGATGATGATGGTACTTTTTATAAATATCAAGTATGAATATCTTTTTAAAAAGGAAAAAATGTAAGTTGTTTGTAAGGGCATAGCATTTAGAAACAACATATGTTTCCTGTAGTCCAGAATAGGTTCCTTACATCAGCCGAAGACATTCACAGAGGGATGAGTTGGAGGAAATAGTGTCAGAGGCAGGCGGGGGAAGTTGTCATCTCTCTTCTGACTGCACTTGTCTTCTTTGCCTGCCTGAATGTAGTTTTCATTTTGTATTGATTCTAGCTATAGATCTTTAAACATTTCTAGATACATTGTCTTCTGATATCCTTATCTTTCCTGCAGTGTTTTTGTTAAGACAGGGTATTAGAGTCCAGACCATCTTAGACTTTGCTCTGTACCCCCAGACAGTACTTAGATTCACAGTCCTCCTGCCTCAGAGTCTTGAGTTCTAGGTTTATAGTCTATACCTCATTATTTAGTAATATAAATGTTATTAATGTAGAGGACTATGTTGTACCATGAAATGAATGTATATAGTCATTCATTCATGGATTAGATACCTTTCCTGTCCCCAGGCTAGCCTATCAGTGACAGTACCTACTTTCATTTCACAATTATAGCCTAGCTTTAGGGCAGAAAACAGACCCAATGTGTCTCCATGCTTAACCGTGCCCTCTGTCCTCTTTTCAGCATACAAAGCAACTGGAGGGTTACTATACTCCCCTGCTGAAAAGCCTTCAGAGTTTCCCATGTTAGTGAGCAAGCTCCAGACTAGTCACTTTGTTTGATACAGTCCTGAATGATTGTTCCTCCACTTCTCCAACCCCAGCCAGTATCATCTTCTGACTTCATTTTGGAGTCTCACATTTTCCTAGCTTTTCTCTCATACCAGAGCTTTGCATGTGTGTCTCTTCTGGAATAGTCATGTACCTTATTCTTCAGGTTGCAGCTTACATATAACATCCAGACAGACTTACCCTGAAAGTCATACATGGCACAACTCCCTTCACACTCTTTCTCTGTTTCTTTACCATGCTAAAATGTACAATCCTACCACTTGGCTTATTGATTTCTATATGTTTTCTCAGTAGATTATACATGAATTCTAGGAAGACAGTAATAATAAGCAACATATCCATTGTCTTAACTAGATGCCCATGTTTGATTGACTGAATATTAAATGAATGATACAATAAGGAAATCAATTGCAAGGTAGAGTTTATGTAGGCACATGGCAGTTTTTAGAGTTCTAGATTTTAGGAAAAACTGATGAGACAGGAATGGAATTACAGTAAGATCGTCCAGCAGATGTGATGTGTTCTAGCTTGCAAGGCAGGTTCCAAGGAAGAGCCCCTTCACTGAGTCTCATGAATGAAGAAAAAAGCAAAGGTTGTCTGACCACTATCCTGCATACCTGAATGTTCCTGGAGGTAGTTTGACCTCTCTGCAGCTTCACATGGGCAGGCCTTACTTTATACTTGGAGAAAATTCACATTTTTCTGTGAGTGATCTATTACAGTAAAGACATAGAACCAAGATATCCTTCTGATTCCCTCTTACTCATTTCTGGTAATAGCAAACTAAGACTAAAACCATAGAGACTTCTTGAACATTTGCCTATGGGCTTTCCCATACTTAGCATGCCTTATTATTTCAACCTAAATGAACTTTAATATCAATATAATGAGGCATCTTGAATGTTTTCTAATCTCCTCAGGGTTTACTTCTTTTTATCTTCCTCTCTCTCTCTCTTTCTCTCTCTCTCCCTCCCTCTCTCTCTCTCTCTCTCTCTCTCTCTCTCTCTCTCTCTCTTTCTCTCTCTCTTCATCTCTTTGTCTTCCTTCCTTCCTTCCTTCCTTCCTTCCTTCCTTCCTTCCTTCCTTCCTTCCTTCCTTCCTTCCTTCCTTCCTCAAGACAGGGTTTCTCTGTGTAGCTTTGTAGACCAGGCTGGCCTCAAACTCACTCTTTGCCTCCCAAGTGCTGGGGTTATAGACATTTTTGTAACCGCAGAAGAAAGTCATTAAGAGGGAGACTTTTGAGTGGAAGTACCAACAGGATTTTGTCTTGCTACTTTGTATGTGCTCTTGGTTAGTTCCCAAGTCTCAAAACCATTTTCTTGGTACTCATCCTTTGCCATTTAAACAAGTGCTTTTCTTATTCTTTCAGAATTACATTCCATTATATGTGACAAATGTTGAGTGATCAGTGGCTAAGGGCAGTTACAATTAATAACAGTAACCACCACCTTACATATAGCCTAGGAAAGTTGAGATTGGGGAGTTAGCCCTAGGAAAGTGACTGTGACATGTTTTTATTCTGGAAAAGAGTGAATGGTTGAAGCATGCTGATTATATTTTTTACTTGGGGTTTCTTAATCCAATTAAACTTAAATTAAGACTGACAACCACACTTTATTTAAATCAAGAGATTTCTAAGTTCACTGGGTTTATACTTCTGTGTGGTTTACTGTTTTGTGATCACAGTGCTAAGGGTTTAACCAGGCCAGAGATGTGTTTTGTTGTTGCTGCTTTGGTTTGGTTTTACCGGTGTTGGTCTTTTGCTTTTTGGCATATTGTTTTCTTTTTACTCCTGAATTATATACTTTTTAAACAACTGCAGCTGTTGAACTTCCCTCAGTGATATTTTCTGTTTTAAAATCTCATTGTCATTTTCAAGGGCGGAACACACTGCTCTTAGGCCCAGTTCTGAGTTCTCCACCCTTCTCCCAGCATTTTGATGAATGTTACAGAAGTAGAAGTGTCTGTGTGTTCACCTGCCTGTCCTTAAGCCTCTCCCCGAGCACTATGTACAAACTGCACACACACACACTACACAATACTCGTCTTACATGCCCACAGTACTCTTTTGTTTTGTTTGTTATAGTTAGAAGATTTCCACAAATCACATTTTAATTCTAATTTCTAAAAGTAAGTAGATAATGTAATTGTAGTACTTTAAAAGAAAAATCAGTTGAATCAACACTGGTACTTGCCTCACAGAAGGTTGAATTAGACCATACTTTCTCATAATCTTTTCATGACTTCCCATTTACTTTCCAAGCTAATGTAATGAACTTCTAACGCTAAAGCAATTGCACATGTGACTTTATTGTTTTATCTTTGAAGAACTTCTTAATGAAAATTGGGTTGCATTATGGTCTATTTATATCTCATTTTAGCTGGCATTGGAAGTCCCCATAATGGGCCTCTCCAAGGATTTGAGGTTTGGTATCCACCTAGGTAAGTGTTGATTCACCCTGTAACTAGTTTCCATGAAAGGGATTTGGGGTTTATTCTCTTCTCAAACCTAATAATTATGTAAAGTTAATGCTACTCTGTATATATCATGTGACTGGTAGGAAAAAATATCATTCATTTAACAAATGTTGATTAAAGATCTGCCAAGTGCCACCTATTAAGGAAGGTGTGGGAGAATCAGAATTAAAAAAGAAGGGGAAAATATGGCAACATCATTTTCAAGAAGAACTATAAAAGATGAGTTTAGGAAATACAAGATTGGCACAAGTCTCCAGAGGCAGGCAGGGAGGTATTCTAAAGGGGATCTTTAAGCTATAGTTGGAACCGAAAGTAAGAATTTACTCACCGAAGTAATACTGGAGGGAAAAGCTGGTCAAGTGATTTGCATCCCAAGAAGAAAAAGAAGCAGTCAAAGTGCAGGGACAGGAAGCAATGCACTGTACATTGCTCAGCTCTAGGTGAAACACAGAGTGAGAGAGGAGTGAGTGAGCCAGGTATCAAGTACCCACGGAGGTCTTACAAAGACCCAAATTCACTGCCTGGTTTGGGGGATTCCTGCAATGAGATGACAGTCAGAAAACTGACATTCAAACAAGTGGTTTCCAGTGTGTTTGTCTACTTCAAAGAGGAAATAGAAGGTGCTATGAGAGAATGTTGCTAAATCCAGAACAACTTTGAAACTTTCAAAGTTCTTCTCCCTCATGTTTTCCCATCTTAGCCTTCCTCCAAAACCACCTCCTCTACCATTCTGTGTCCCCAGCCTCAAAGTAGCCTAGTCTCATTGCTTAAGATTGACAGCAGGAAGAAGAAGGGTCTCTAAAGAAGCAGGGGGGGGGGGGCTTAATTCCAAAGGGAGGAAGCACAGTGATGATGGAAGTAATGCATTGTAACTGTGTTAATCCCTCCCTCTTCTCTCTAGAAAACCTAGACTAGTTTGCTATTGTTTGGCCTTTTCTAGAGTTTAATGGACTAGCACAATACACAGCTCTTGTGTATGATTTTTCACTAAACACAAAGCTCTATGGCATCTGGTGTTATGTGCATGAGGTAATTCATTCCTTTGTTGTTGGATATTAGCCTGTAATGTAGATATACCACAATGTGCTAATTCATTCACAGGTTGATGGTGTTCTGAATGTTTCCAATCTGAGTCTATTCTGAAAACAACTTGCTTAAAATAAGTCATCATGAACATGTATATTGAGGGCCGTTTTTCTTCCTCTTTTGGCATTTTCTCCTTTCTCTTGGTTAAATCCTGTAACTATGGAATCATAAGGAAATTGTGCGTTTAATGTTGATAAGAAATTGAAAATTCTTTTCAAATCCTATACTGCCTAAATTCTCTCCAGCAGTCTATGAGTTCAGATGAACAACCTCACCAGTGTTTAGCAATCTCAAAGCTCAGCCACCATAGCAGGTGTGTGTGAATTAAGCTCATATTTCCTTGGTAACTAATGAGGTGAAACAATTTATAAGCTTATTTGCCTACTGTTTTTCTTCCTTAGTGAAGCATTTGTTCAGATCTTTTGCTTGATTTCTAATTATGCTTTTTGTCTTACTATTACTGAGTGGAAAGAAATCTCCATATATTCTAGATATAAGCCCTGAACGACAATGTGTTTTGCAAATATTTCTTCCAGCTTATGTGTTGTCTTTTTATTTACTTAACTGACTTTTGAAGAGCAGTTTTAATTTGGATAGAATTCAAATTAGCTTTTTATTTTCTTTATAATTTTAGCTTCCAAAATCATTGACATATTCTTTTTTCTGTTTAGAAGATCTATCATCTTACATCTTATATACCTAGATATGTGGTCAAATTTGAATTAACTTTTATATGTAGTATGCAATAATGACAAAATTCATTTTCAGGTATATGTTATAGTTCCAGTGTTTTTTAATGGTTATCCCTTTTAAATTTCTTACCCCTTCCCCTGCCAGATGAGAAAGATGTCAGAGCATCACTGGTAAGTCACAGGCGACGTGGCCATACACAGATTAATAGAAATGGGTTAATTTAAATGTAAGAACTAGCTAATAATGAGCCTGAGCCATCAGACAATTATAATTAATATTAAGCCTCTGAGTGATTATTTTATGAGAAGCTGCAGGACCAGGCAGGACACAGAAAAGCTTCCAGCTACACACTTTGTTAGTATTGTTCTGTTATAATGTTTACAGATTATACAGTCCTTTAACAAACCCAATAGTCCACACATTTGTCTGTTTCTTCATCTTTTGTGTTTCATTAATCTCTACAGTAGAATCAGTGTTGATTATTTGAAATATAAATGTACACATCTTTTGTTTTTGCTGTTTTACTTCAAGATCCTTTCAGTTATTTTACATTCTCTTAACTTCTAAATAGTTTTTTAAATCAATTTCCACAAAAGAAATTTGTTGGATTTTGAGTGGCTATACACTGACCCTATAGATTAATTAATTTAAAGATAGTGTATACCTTAACAATATCTATTGCAAATAATTAATAAATTATAGTTATTCACTGTTAATTACATAGATTAGGTAAATGTTTTATGATGATATTTAGCCTGTAACCTTACCAAATTCACTTACTAATTTCTGTAGTTTTGTAACCTTACCAAATTCACTTATTAATTTCTGTAGTTTATGTATAGATCCCATTGGGTTTTTTGAATATGTATAATCTGTAAACAATATAAAACAACAGTTTCCCATATGATCTATGCTCTTCTATTTATTTCCCTGTATTGTGATGTGGATTAAAAGCTTTGATATGTTTAAGAGATGTGTCAAGAGTAGATACCCTAGCCTTATTCTACAGGAAAAGCATGTAGGCTATGAATGTAGAGAACTGCATTTGGTGTGGTTTTGTAGTTATTTAGCAGATTAGGAGATTTTCTTCTTTTTTCTTTAACTTTTTCCAGACAAGATTTCTCTGTATAGCCCTGGCTGTCCTGGAACTTGCTCTGTAGGCCAGGCTGGTCTTGAACTCACATAATTCCACTGGTCTCTGCCTCCCGAGTGCTGGGATTAAAGGCATGCACCACCACTGCCTGTTGAGATTTTCTGTAATTGCTAGCTTTCTGGGAATTTTCTACAATGGCTTGGTCTTAGCTTTGTCAAATACTTGCTTCTTTGTCTACCGAAAAGCTCAAATCTATTTTCTAATTTTGGTTTTTAACATTGAGTTATATTGATTTATCTGAACCAATGTTGCATTCCCAAGATAAACTCGATTTAATTCTGTTACATTATTTTATCTTAATACACACATGGTTACCTGGGATTTATTAGTATTATGATGTGGGAGCCCACGGTGACTCTGTTCCATCTTGACTTAAGGTCAGAGAGTACAAACTTTTTCTTGCTCCTCAAGGTCAAATAACAGGATGTTTGGCCAAAGGCATGGCTACTAGATGTTTTGAGAATTAAGGAGGTAATTATACTTGTTTGTTCCTTGTATCATGGTAAGGAAGTCTTTTGCTCTTCCCTTTTGCTTTGGGTATAAAACGGTTATAATAAATAAATTAGGACTGCTGCAGTATTTACTGAGAGCCCTTCTGACTCCATCTTCTGTCTTTTGTCTCTTTCTTTTCTCAGTCCTCACTCCCCTTTTTAGTCATGTTTGACAAGACAGGTTGGCTGGTCCTGACATTATGATGGGGATTTTTACACCTATATTCTTGTAGAATACTGAGTTGCAAGAGTCCCTTTTGTTTCGTTGAAGAAGAATGCTAGCCTTATTTACATTAATAATAAGACAGGCATAATGATAATACCAGTTGGCATGCCAACATGGACAGGGGAAATTCTACATGGTTCCACCCCTAGATGAAGAGGTGGATAATTGCTGCTGAGAGAAGGAATGTAACCATAAGTCTTTCTGCCAGCTGCCCGGGTTCCGCCTGTCGCCACATTAAGTTCCCAAGTAACACACAGGGACTTATATTAGGTACAAATGGTGCTGGCCAATGACTAGGATTTCTTATCTGCTAGCTCGGTCTTAATTATCAACCATAATAATAAGACTTATCTTATGGAGGATGCGTAAGCAGAATGCATCCTGTCTTGCCGGGATCACATGGCGGCTCCAGAGCAGAGAGCAGGAGGAAGAGGAAGGGCAAGAGAGAGATTTCCTGCTTATATTCTGAGTCTGCCTGCTATGTCACTTCCTGCCTGGATCACAAGACTTATCTTTACTACATTTTCCTGAATCCTCCTTGACTCCTAGTCCTGCCTAACTTGCTTCTTCATTGGCCAACAATACTTTATTCAACAACCAATAAGATAAACATACACAGACGGACCTGCCCCATCAAAGGAACTTTAGTTTCCTCAAGAGATAAGCTTCTACCATTCCACATAGAGGGATACTCCCTGAGCCAAGACACACGGGGGTGGGCCTAGGCCCTATCCCAAAGTATTTATAGATTCTGATGACATCCTATGGAAGGCCTCACCATCCAGGGGGAGCAGAATGGATATGTGATAGGTAGGGTGTTAGCTGGGAGGGGGGTGGTAGGGGAGGAGGGGAGGGAGAGGGAACTAGGATTGTCATGTAAAACAATCTTGTTTCTAATTCAAATAAATAAAAAGTCTGCAGAAAAAAAAAGAGAGATAATCTTCTACATAGGATGTCCAATACCAAGTTGTAAGCCCTGAACATATGTGCATATAAGCAACACTAAATGGATTCAGAATATATGTGTGTATATATATGCACATGTGCACACATACAATGTAACAAACACACACGTGTGTATATATGTATATGTGTGTATTTATGAATAGAAATAGAAAAATTAAAGAAGAAACTATGAATGGAGGGGTATGGGAAGAGTTTGTGGGGGGAAGGAAAGGAGGGAGTGATGTAGACACAGTACTCAAGTTCAGAGTTCTCAAAAAGGAAGTATAAACATAAATAAACAAAAACAGTGGCTGGGCATGGTGGTGTATGCTTTTAATTTCAGAACATGGGAGGCAGAGGTAGGCAGATCTCTTTGAGTTTGAGTCCAGCCTGGTCTACATAGTGAGTTCTTAGCTACCCAAGTCTACACAGTGAGACCCTGTCTCAAAAAATAATAAAAAATATAACAACTGTTTTATAACTTTGAGTGTGTGTGTGTGTGTGTGTGTGTGTGTGTGTGTGTGCGCGCGCGCGCGCGCGCGCGCGCGCGCGTGCACGTATACACACACACATGCATCTTTTAACCTATATTCAGGTCATTTATGTCCCAGGTATTCAAGAATTTTTACAGATACTTTTCTGATATGTTGATCAACTTTACTGAGGTCAGAGATCACACTGTGAATGATGTCAGCTCTTTGAAACTTGCAGGGTTTGTTTTGTTTTATGCTTTATAATATGGCATACCTTGGAATGTTTCTCTGTACACTTGAAAAGGATGTTCTGCTATTTGGGAGTAGAGCATTCTTTATTTATCAACACTATCAAGTTGACAGACAGCG